AATTCCGCCTACTAGCCCCCAGTCAATGAAAAGGACATCGGTTTTTTTGTCATGGTCTGTTTGCGTCGCAAAGGACACTTTATAAAAGTACAAAGTGTATTTCCGCCAGCTCACGTTAACATCAGCAGGAAGGTGGGGGTGATGGTCGCAGTGTTGACCCACCTGCGCCCCACCACACGCCTACAGATATCGTCGCGTGCACACACACACACACACACATATATTGACATGGTAAGAACCAGAGAGAGTGAAAACAGAGAGAGAGGTAGAAATTGAGAATATATAATACTTCCTTTATTTATATATGCATATGAACTTATATGTGAATATATATATACTTGACGGAGTTCAACTAAATAGGACACAAGGCCACGATTATGGAGCACTCTGGTGAGGATTAGATTCATTATACATAGTCTGCTAGTGCAAGAAGCATACTACAAATTGGAGACGCCAAAATCGAGCAAGTACAGAAATATGACTACCTGGAAAATTATGATGAAGAATGTGGCACCGAAATCCGAAGGTGCATTGGAATGGTGAAAGATGCCTTCAAAAAATTACACAAAGAATTAAGAAACAGGAAAATTTTATTAGCAACAAAGAAAAGAGTGCTGAATTGCTGTCTATCCCTTCTCAATTGTAGTGAATACTGGACAATTCTCGCACATATGAAGAGGTGTGTTTGATGGATTAATTTGTTTTTATGCCTTATCAACCTTTTATAGCTTGTTTAAAGTCAGAAAATATTTCTAGATGTAAGAATTTTTTGAAGATAATAACTATTTACTGATACAAGGCCTACTAATTAACCCATAGCTGGGGGTACAAGAGGTGTATACATACCTTTCCCAAGGTTCTTTGCCCGTAAGTGAATATAACGAACCCGATAGTAAAATTTGGCTGTCCGATTTCTAATTCTGAGCCATTATCTATTGCACCACCCGCACATCCAAGCTTACAGCACCTTGTATTCCCTAGCGGGCACCCATCTAAGTACTGACCAGGCTCGACCAGGAGGCGTCGTGAGCTTAACTTTGGTGATTCTACGAGTCAATGTTTCAACGTGATATGGCCATAATGGTAGATGAAGAATGGATTTGCGGCAAACGAAATATTGTTTTACTGATGGATGCTGACAATACCATGCTTTGAACATGTCAGCAACGGGTAAATTTTAAGGAAAAGGAAAACAACAAAAAACTAAAGGCTGTTATTTCTGAGATACATAATGAGGAAAGAGGACTAGATGAATTTGATACTCACAAGACATATTGAAGGCAAGAGGGGCAAAAGGAATTAGCGAGTAACCTACCCAACAAGCTCATGTAAATGTATGGTAGAATTCGAACATAGAGTGATAGTAAGGGGTCAAACATTTAACATAATTATGTATTATGTATAAACATAAAAATGTCTTAAAATAATTGTCGGACTTTGTCCATTTCATAATGTGTGACGTCATTTGTTTACATTTGATACGCCATGAGCAGATATGAATGTACGTTAGAGATTCATGGAAGATTAAGGTTCAAATACAGTAAATTCGACCTTGCTAACCGAACGCGACTCTGTGGCCAAATGACGGTTCCGTATAGGATACAGGTTCAAATCCTGTCGGAGGACGAATATTTTCTGTGAAAATTTCGCGGACATCCAGGCCGAGAAATGTTTAATACTGTTTATTATAAACAGAGCATTTACTAAAATATTTGTATCTATAAAAAGAATGTATAAACATAAAAATGTCTTAAAATAATTGTCGGACTTTGTCCATTTCATAATATATATATATATATATATATATATATATATATATATATATATATTTATTTAATTAATACGAATATATTAATTTGTGGAGACTGAGGCTAACACCGAGCGGCGAATGTCTGGTTCATGCTTGACCGCAATCTTTAGGCTGGTCAATGGTACATTATATCTATCTATCTATCTATATATATATATATATATATATATATGTGTGTGTGTGTGTGTGTGTGTGTGTGCGTGTGTGTGTGTGTGTGTGAAGACAACAGGAAAAACTATTCTTAAACGACGCATTTCGTTTCTCTGAGGGACTTTATGAAGGCAAATGAGTCCTCAGAGGACTTTTATTTTAATTTTTCTTTTACAGAAAAACTCTATCTGTATCGGTTCTCGATATGAAAGAGAAATGCAGGAATCAGATTTTAATGTTCACTTGCCTACGTGTGGACAGGACATCATATTAAAAAACTATTTTATCTGTTTTTAAAAAATCCAGGACATTTTTTTTTGTTTTTACGCTTTTTTTAAATTCCTGGACATTTATTCGTTTTTATTTGGGAAGAAGAGAGAAAATGTGTTTTTAAAATGAACCAACATCAAAGTTTAAGCATTTCACTGTTTTTTCTTTTTTCTTTTTTTAAAAAAAAAAATTGTAAAGAAAAAGCTAAATGAGTGTACGAATGAGGAGGAGCAATGATGTAGTTGTTTACATGTAGACGAGTTGCAGAAAGAGGGGAGGGGTTAAAAAGCTTTCTTTGAAAATAAAAAGGTGTTTCATTAAGACGGATTATATATAAAGCTGTTTCATTAAGACGAATCAAAGTCAGCAGTAAATAAATCAATGTTATTGGTGAATATTTATTTCTCTATTGGATCATGTTATGGCATTTATGTGCGAAAAAAAAAATCGCCCAAATGTCAGCCAAATCTGAAAGAAAAAGAAAAAAGTCATAAGATGCTTAAATTTAATTCACTTTTAAAATCGGTCCAAGTTATTGGAACACCCTTTATTTGTGAATTTATACATACGTAGGCGTACGCACGTGTGTCTTTCCTTGAATGCCCGACTTTTAAGAGAGATTGAGTGAAAGCGACAAAGAAGGTGCAGAAAACGATAAAAGACCAGGGGAAAAGTCAGACCAGAAGAGTACATGGAACTCCTATTTAGTTATGCGTACGTATTTCGACACACTTCTAGTTTTTTTTCATACGTTTGTGCACATAGTGTGTTGATAATGAAATAAATACATTTTCACATGTTTTACTTTGTTATACCTAAGTGTGTACTTTTAGAATTCGTGTCAAGCCAGAGCATTATTAACGGTGACATGTGGCAAGAATTACAGCTACTGTCTCGTAACAACTGAGTATGCTACGCTCAGAGACATAAAACAAATAATCCAGCCTACACTATTTTATCTTGATATGCTTAATAGCTTAGTTATGATAAAGGAAAAAGATTTGAATGATTTTGATAAAGGACAAATTGAAATGATGTAAGAGTAACAAAAATGAAAGAACTGTTTTCTCTTCTATTGGAAAAGAAACACGAGTTCTTTTTATTGATTCGTGAATTGAATAATAGAAAACTTTTCCTATAAAAAAAATAAAAATTTTGGCTTGGTAGCAAAAGGCCAGGATAGGAAATTTATCTCACTCACTGACAAGGAGTCGGCAAAATTTCCCCACTGGAGACAATAAAAGTAGCTAATACAGACCATGTGTAGTGCTATTTATTACTACAAGAAAATTTCTCCTGTTGAAATGACTAGTGATTTGACTTTCAGTAAGGAACAAAGTGCAACATAAGGGTGTTGGCCTGAGGTCAGCTGTGGATACTAATGCAGTAACACCATACTGGTATGACCCACTATGGAACAACGACCTTAATCACTCAAACACCAATTCAAGCTATATATGATGTCGTGACAACGTCACGGTGGACTTTTCTAAGTTTAATGCTCATGAAAATAGAGACTGTCATCTTCTGTCAGTTGCTAATTGTAGAGGAACAGCACCAAATTTATCTCCTATGTGAGAGTGATGAAGAGCTCCAAAGGCAAATTCAGAAGTGATTACTGAGATTACTTTTCAGAATCGTGCATTTCGTGGTCACGATGAAGATATAATCTCAAACGTAAACCATGGATATTTACTGTTACTTTTGCAGTGATTATGAAAATAAGATCCATTTAGAACTTATAAACAAGCAAACATTAACAGCGTATCTTTCTGACGAAATCCAAAATTATTGTTTGTTTTTAATTCGTTGAAACATATGCAATCATGTTCTTTTTGTCTTTTGTTTTTTTTTTCTTTTACTCATTTCACCGAAAACAAGGCCGGAAGCCACTAGTACGCAAGGAGTGAAATTGAGAGAAAAAAAAACTGTGAATAGGGGGGGATTGAGGAAAGAACAAAAGATGAATGGGATTCAAGAAGACAGAAGATGGCGATTGATCTTACATTTAAATATTGTAGTTAACAGGGAAGCAAGTAAACGGAAGGGAGTTCCACAGGCGAGAAGTACGAGAAAAGCAACTGTTGGAGTAGAAGTGACGGTTGCATTTAGCTATTTCAGCAGTAAACGGGTGAGACCTAGACACCAATCTAGTAGCACAATTAAATTCATTTAGTCGGGGAACCAGTGAAAAAAGCTCGTTAAAACGGTTGCCATGGAAATATTCTCTGTTATTCCTAAATATGATTTAGCGATTCATGAGCAAATTTCTGTGATTCGGGTTGCTGACATTAAATTTAATACAAGAAAAATAAAAGTCAGTCATTTATTGACTTTATATAAATAAAGGAAAAACACGCTGCTATTATCGAGAAAACAATAAACACAGAATTAAATGAGGAAGGATTTTTTTTTAATACTAATATTCACCCAACTCAGGGCCCAAGAGCCACGAAAGATAGATCATTACTGAATGAGGTTGTTATAAAATATTTTGATTGTTTGATTCGTTTTTACGGCTTATCAACCCTTTGCAGGTTATTTAAAACCAGAAAACACTTTTCCATAGAAAGAATTTTTTAGATAATAATGATCTAGTGATACAAGTTTTATATAATTAACCCATAGCTGGGGGGAGAAGAGGTGGATTCATACCTTTCCTAGAGGTATTTCGGCGTAAGTGAATATAGCGAAGTCAACGGGAATTGGAACTCGGCTCTCCGATTAACAGTTTCGAGTCAATATCCATTGCACCATCTGCACATCCAAGTTTGCAGCACCTAGCATTCCCAAGCAGTCAGCCATCTAAGCACTGACCAGGCTCGACGTTGCTTAACTTCGCTGGTCGTACGGAAACCCATTGTTATAAAGGAGATAATAAGAAGTACAGAATATCAGGATGTGTAGGATAGATAGTTAACAATACACTTGAAGGGCTTACTGCCATATCACGTTGAAACACCGTGGTTCTCAAACGGTTAAGCAAAGTCGAGCGTGGTCAGTACCTACATGAGCAACCGCTTAGGAATGCCAGGTGCTGTATGTTTGGAAATGCGGGTGGTGTAATGGATGGCGGTTCGATATTGAAAGTCGGAGATCCGAGTTCAAATTCCAGTCGTTAGGTTCGTTATATTTCCTTACACGCAAATATCCTTGGAAAAGGTATGAATTCTCCTCTTCTACCCACAACTATGGCTTAATTAGTAGGACTTGTACCAAGAAATTATTATTACCTCCCAAAGATTCTTAAAATCTAGAAATATTTTCTGGCTTTAAATAACCTGCAAAAAGTTGGTAAGTCGTAAAAAATCAATCTGTTAATACCGTGACATAAAAAAATTAAGATCATAGCGAGTTTAGGTTATAAAAATCGTCTACATCAGCATATGGCAAATAAAGGCCATCATTTGGAGGAAGTCATTTTTAAAAACAAATTGAATCAAAACTGTCTCCCTTTGTTTAAGCAATAGTGGAATAATCTTTATAATACCAGTTACTTTGCTCTTTTTGTCAACCTTTAAAATGTGGGATGTATTTCTACCGCAGCCTGTATTGCAACTAGACTGTAAAGCAACATAGGATCACATATATAGAAATTTCATTTTAAAATACCGAAGAGATCAATGATATCGCACGGTATTGTTTTTACATTTGTGTTATCCAGAAATGTTCCTGGCGTACTGAAAACTGTTAGTATAATCGATACTAAAATATCAAAGTTGATTTTTATGATAATAGTAAAATAGACATTTCCGTACAGGAATTATTCGACATTCATCTGGTCTTACGATTGCGTTTAGCATGAAACATTCTGTCGCCTCTGAGTGTTGATTCAAAGTCATTTTTATACTTACATACGCCCTATCTCTGATATCCTATATATGGAACCGTCATATAACCTTTAACTGATAGGGCCACAGAACAAACCGAACGCTCCTCTGTGATCCAATCAGTTAAAGGCACGTCAGGCTATATGATGGTTCCGTATAGAATACAGGTTCGATTCCTGTCGGGGGACGAATATTTTCTATCAACATTTCTCGGGCATTCAGGCCGGTAAATGTTGCTTAATGCTGTTTATTATAAACAGGGCATTTACTTAAATATTTGTATCTATAAAAAGAACATATAAACATAAAAAATGTCTTAATATATATATATATATATATATATATTTGAAGAAATATAGTCTTAAAGTGTGTTATATTTATGGGATAAAGTGCTCAATATCAGAGATAGAGCGTGTGTAAATATAAAAGTGAACATAGAAGTCAACACTTAAAAGCGAAAGGCTGTTTCATGCTAGACCCAATCATCAGGCCACGTGGACTGACGATTGCGTCTAGCATGAAACAGCCTGTCACCTTTAAGTATTGACTTCAATGTTCACTTATATATATATATATATATATATATATATATATATCAAGTCATCCCATGAGTTCTGTCCGAATTTTGAATAATGAAAACAAGTGACCAAATGTTACATTTAATTACAGATTCAATCAACAATGTATTTCCTTGATTATCTATGACTTCCTTCCATCTATTAACAAGCTTACTAATTCCATTACTGTAAAATTCTTTTGGCTTTGATTCGAAGAACTCACAAATGTCAGTTTTAACCTTTTCCTGTGTTAGAAAAGCTGTTTCTTCCAAATGATTCTGTAAGCTACGAAACAAATGGTAGTCTGGAGGAGCAAGATCGGGAGAATAAGGTGGATGAGGAATTTTCTCCCAACCAAGTTCTTCGATCTTTCGTGACGTGATTCTTGCTGTGTGGGGTCGCGCATTGTCCTGATGAAACATCACCCCTTTTCGATTCACTAGAGCAGGTCTTTTTTTTTCTCAAAGATTGGTTCAAACGCTCTAATTGCTGACAGTATATTTGAGCATTAATTGTTGCATTAGGTGGTAAGAATTCAAAGTGGATTATTCCTTGGCGATCCCACCAGATTGAAAGAAGAACCTTTTGCCCATGACATTCCCTCCTCGGCTGTGGCTGGGGTCCTTCCCTTTTACCAAGCCACAGTCTACGACGCTTAACATTTCGATAAAAGATCCATTTTTCGTCGCCAGTCACAGGTCTATCCAAAAAAGGCGAAACAAGTTGGCAAGAATGGAGAGAAGAACAGATGTCAACTCGGAATTTGAGGTTGTTTTCAGACAATTCATGAGGCACCCATATTCCAAGTTAAGGAACTTTTCCAAGTTGTTGAAGACAAGTGAAGTGAAGATCTAACCAATGTCTTTATCCAGTGGGCCATGTGTTCGAAATTCCAATCACCCGAAGAAGACCGGAGCGTACAACGGCCGAAACGTTGTGAATATGACAATGAAGATGAGAATAACAGTCCGAATAATGTAAATAATGTAAGTAATCATAATACCTTATCTCAGAGATACAGATAGATATAATCTTCAGTACTTTGATTCTTCTTCTTCTTCTTCTTCTTCTTCTTCTTCTTTGTACTGTATCCCTTCAGGACGTTGGCGACCATGGCTCTCCACAATTTATTGTCCTTTTTAGCTCAATATCAGTATTTTTGCTGTCTCTCTTAAACCTTGTTCGGCTATCATTAACTGAAACACGCCAGTACGTTATGCATTGCTTTCCTCTCTCCTGCTTCAATCAGTCATGTGAGTATCAAATTTTCCAAGCACTTTCTTCTCATTATGTGCACTAGAAATGTTAATGTCTAATGTTAAGTGTTAAATGTCTAAGTGTCTTTTTGTTTCCATTTTCTCTAAAACTTCCTTATTGCTCACATGTTTGGTCCATGATATTCTTAGCATCTTTCTGTAGGACCAAATCTCTGTTGGTTCAAATCTTTTCTTCATCTGTGAGGAAATTGTCCAATATTCATTGCTGTATAGAAGGATTGATATTACGTAACAAAGCAGTACTCTGTTCTTTGTTTCTAACGAAATTTTCCTGTTCCTTAATACTTTGCTTAGCGTTTGGAAGGCATCTTTCGCCACTCCAATGCGCTTTCTGATATCGGTGTCGATTTTCTGTGCTCTATTAAAACACTCTCCAGATATTTAAATTGCTGTACTTGTTTGATTTTGCTATATCCAATTTGTAATGTGCACGTTGAACTATTCCTTTTGCTAATAACCATACATTCTGTCTTCTTACAATTGGTGTTTAGGACTTTGTAACAGAGAATCTGGTCAGTCTGATAAAAGACTCCGAGTTGATTGTATGTGGTGCTGTAATCCCCAGTGGTTGCGTCCCCTTCCACAATGGGCTGTCGAGAGAAGACTTTCTGTGTTCGTCTTGTCTGGTTTTCGAGCGTCCGCGCGGTGGAGATGGATAGCGACAACACTGAGGATGAAGTACCTCCCCTGCGAAGGAGCACTAGAAGGAAACGACTGCCCCCCCTGCATGTTGGTGCTGTGATCAGGAGCTCGGCGTGGTAAGTGTAACAGAGAATCGGGTCAGATCGATAAAAGACTCCGGGTTGATTGTACGTGGTGCTGTCCTCTTCCACAATGGGCTTTTGAGAGATGCTTTCTTTTCACTTTCCTTCAATATCTTCTGTAGGGGTTCTTGTAGTTTCCTTTTTGTGTCTGCTACCAACACTGCATCTGCATATCTCAAGTTAAGATAGTAACCGACAATAATAAATCCTGATAAAACTCACTGTATAGATTGAAGAAATCTGATGAGAAGACACATCCTTGACTGAAACGCCTTTCTATGTTTATATATTTACCGAATTCATTTTGTTTCCGTATGCAAGCGGTTTTTGCCAGTATAGGTTCTCGATTATTCTAATATCCTTCCCAAACATGTCATAGTTTGGTGATTAATTTCCATCAATTTTTGCCGCAAAGTTCGAGACGATTCCCTTTCAATGTTAAATTTTATAATCTCGAAACATCAGCGTAAAATAACTACTGTTGCTACTATCACTGAGTAAACAAACAATATAGCGTAAAAATGAACATGTGATAGAAAGACTATAGATTATGAACCTTATTTCACAATGAGCCGAGAAATATTTGTGGATTCACGTAGAAAGACACATTCTCAAATGAGTAGTTTGATAAATGTGATGCAGTCTCTATTAAGATGGGCTGGACGTGTTGTTAGGATGAATGACGAAAGACTGCCAAAAATTCTCACTTATGGCCAACTTCAGGAAAGCCTCTTCTTAGATACAAAGATAAACTTAATCAATTATATTCGTATACACTCATCAAAATTTGAGGGGTATGCTACTGGCCGTTGTATATGGAGAAAAACATGCCAAAGTGGCATTCGGAGAAACATCTATACAAGGATTGTGCACATAAGTAATTTTAATCAATTCACCCCAAGTAAGGTGATAATGCCACTAAGACACAATACGCTACTGGGAGGGAAAGAGAATGAGAAGACTTTAAAAGGACTCGGAAACCCAATCATAAACAGGAAATAAGGGATAAACCTCTACTCCGGGGAGGAGTGTGAACCGAACGATAGGCGAGTTTATCTACTGTTATTGAGGAAAAAATAAATAAGTAATCTAAGGCATATTCAGAAGTCTTCTTCTTCTTCTTCTTCTTCTTCTTCTTCTACTACTACTACTACTACTACTACTACTTCTAATTCTTTTACTTCTACTTTTTCTTCTCCTGCTGCCATTACTACTACTATGAAGTAACTTCACAGATAATATAGGTAATAATAAACAAATTAATATTTTTTTCAATCAATTCACTCCAAGCAAGGCGATAATGCCACTAAGACGTAAGGGGCCACTGGGAGGGAAAGAGAATCAGAAGACTTTAGAAGGAACTGAAAACCCAATCCTAAGCAGGAGATAAAGGATAGACCTCTACTCCAGAGAGAAGTGTGAACCGGGAGA